TAGGGAAAAGTTTCTTATGTCAGCAATTCATGCGACAGGCCGGTGATGAAGTGACTTCCTCTGCTCCTGTTAAATGGTGAAGTGCTTATTCCTCAGTCCATTGGGAAGATTTAGAGCCGCAGCCTACAGGGCGAGGGCCACCTGTTCTTTCACTCGCTAGAGGTTTGGTACTACATCAGTAATTTCAGGGACCTGTGATGGGTTGTGGCCTTGTTTGTCACTATCGCTTTATGCATAACTCGTCAATTGATGGCAGTGATTATATCCATCTTCACGGAATACAGACTCGGTTTGAATCGCAAGATCTTTAACCCTTGAGTTTCAGGACCTTGAGTGAGGCAGTTGCTCGAACTCCCAAACCAGAGGGTAGTGATATTTTGTAGTGCCAGATAATGAACCTCACAGGCTATTTTTCTTTGTAAAGTGCTTTGATTTACTCCCTTACCTGTGTTTCTGAACACACGGTGTCTGAATAGTTTCTGGCCATCGTAGGCATTCAGTAACTGTTGCATAAACTCAACATGTGCTGGAATGACTTGGTGAAGGATGAACAGCAATGGGAAGAAGAAGAAGGGGGGGATTGCTGGAAGTTGCTGGACATATTTCAATTTGGAATATTTACTCAGAATATTATCTGGTGTATAACTGACAGATACAAACTTGTATACAACTGCCACTTGCATTTGTTTCAGATATGGGGCACAGAGGATGTCATTTAAATTTTTTTTAACATTTATTTTTTTTTAATTTTTTTTTTAATGTTTATTTTTGAGAGAGAGAGAGAGACAGAGTGTGAGCCGGGGAGGGGCAGAGAGAGAGGGAGACACAGAATCCAAAGCAGGCTCCAGCCCCCAAGCTGTCAGCACAGACCCCGACGCGGGGTTCAAACTCACAAACTGTGAGATCATGACCTCAGCTGAGTTAACCAACTGAGCCATGCAGGTGCCCCGAACATTTATTTTTGAGAGACAGAGAGACAGAGTGTGTCTCTGAAGGGGCAGAGAGAGGAAGACACAGAATCTGAAGCATGCTCTGGGCTCCGAGCTATCAGCACAAAGCCCGATGCGGGGGCTTGAACTCACAGACCACGAGTTCACGACCCCAGCTGAAGTGGGATGCTTAACTGACTGAGCTACCCAGGCACCCCGAGGATTTTGTTTTAAAAGTGTTTTCTATTAGGCTTGAGAATTCATATTGGAACTATAGCTAGAAGGAAGCCAAAATGTTCCCTTTTTAAGAATATTTTAAAATCTAATTATCAGAAATCTATATTTAGTTAAATATGATGTTGAAGAGAGTGAAATTTTTGCAGCATGTACTATTCATCGCTGTTCTCCTTCCCACATACATCTTTTCATGCCCTCCCCCAATCCCCACTTGCTGACATTAGAATGGGCCATGTGAAATTGCTAATTTTATAGGTCCAAAGTGGTCACATGCTGGCAGTTTAATATGATTCATGCATATGTGCATGCAAATACATTTTGGTTATTCCAACAGCAGTCTAGTGTGGGAGAAGCACACTTCATCTGAAAGCAAATTGCTCATTTTGCTTTTCTTTTCTTTCTTTCTTTTTTTTTTTTTTTTTTTTTGAATGGAAATCTAGAAATCCCCTAAAAGCCTCATAAGCTGCACCAGGATTGGTCTCTGTGTCATAATAATAACAGTGACGTGAGCAATCATAGATATAACTATCATGTATGGAGCATTTAATGTGTTTAAATTCAGTGACTCCTTAATCCTTATGATGATGCCAAGCTTCCCGGGGACTGAGTCTGTCTCCCCACCCCACCCCCTTTTTTTTGTTCTACCACCACAGCCCTAGTGTCTCGCACATAGTTTAGTACATGGGGCAGATTATAACAACATTTGACGCAAGCATCAATGAACAGGTAATCATGGATTGTTACTTCTACTTTGCCAATGAGAAGCTTGAGCTTTAAAAAAAAAAACTGCATTGGGGCGCCTGGGTGGCTCAGTCGGTTAAGCGTCGACTTTGACTCAGGTCATGATCTCACGGTCTGTGAATTCAAGCCCTGCGCGGGGCTCTGTGCTGACAGCTCAGAGCCTGGAGCCCGTTTCGGATTCTGTGTCTCCCTCTCTCTCTGCCCTGCTCACACTCTGTCTCTGTGTCTCTCTCAAAGATAAATAAACATTTAAAAAATATTTTTTAAAAAAGCTGCATAAACTCCCTGTGCCAGCAAGCAGGTGGAACCCGGTCTTCTGACCACAAAGTCCTTGAATATCATTAGAGATCCTGCTTGCCTGGAGCCACGGCAAAAGGGAAGATACATCTTTTGACAGTTTGAACTGTGGTTTTGTTTCCTGTTTTCTTGAAAAGTCTTGAGAAAATGTGACACAGATCTGAATTATAGAGCAAATGAGAGAGTGGGAGTTGAAACTAACTGTGATGGTAGTCAAGCCTCCGGGGCATTTAATTAAAAACAAACAACAGCTCTGAGGTTTACCAGAGGGTACATGGGTGGGAGGATAGAATTAAGGAGAGCACTTGTCCTGATGAGCACAGGGTGATGTATGGAAGTGTTCGATTACTATATCGTGTACCACAAACTAATGGAACACTGTATGTTAACTAACTGGAATTAAAATTAAAACTTAAAATAAAAAAATAAAATAACATTATGAGAAGAAACATTAAAAAATATATAAAATTTAGGGGCGCCTGGGTGGCGCAGTCGGTTAAGCGTTCGACTTCAGCCAGGTCACGATCTCGCGGTCCGTGAGTTCCAGCCCCGCGTCGGGCTCTGGGCTGATGGCTCAGAGCCTGGAGCCTGTTTCCGATTCTGTGTCTCCCTCTCTCTCTGCCCCTCCCCCGTTCATGCTCTGTCTCTCTCTGTCCCAAAAATAAATAAACGTTGAAAAATATATATATATAAAATTTAAAACCAAAAACAACAATAAAAACACTTTATTTTCCCACCAAAAATTAAAGGAAAAAAATAAGCTTAGAATGTGCCTTTTCAGGTAAGCTTAACAAGAATTAAAATACTTGAAGAAGAAAAAGAAATGTTTCCAAAACCTCTATAGCTTGCTCCCTATTTCTTTTAAATGTACCATGATAGCAGGATAAAATGTTTTAACTAAAAGATACCTTGATAACATCCCACCCTTTCCACTTGAGTCTTAAGAGTCCCAAAGAAAGTTCCTAGTAAGCAACTGAAGGGGGATGAACTGGCATTGGTGAGGAAGAAGACCAAAGAGTTAGGGATTGATTTCCTTCCCCCTTCTACTCCTACTTTATAACAGAGCAGATATTCTGTATTCCATCTTACTTACAAGTCTGGATTGTTTCTTTGCCACAACTTTTAAGAACACAGCTGTGTTGGGGCGCCTGGGTGGCTCAGTCGGTTAAGCGTCCGACTTCAGTTCAGGTCATGATCTCACAGTTCGTGAGTTCGAGCCCCGCATCGTGCTCTGTGCTGACAGCTCAGAGCCTGGAGCCTACTTCAGATTCTGTGTCTCCCTCTCTCTCTCTGCCCCTCCCCTGCTCATGCTCTGTCTCTCTCTGTCTCAAAAATAAATAACACATTTTTAAAAAATTAAAAAAAAAACATAGCTGTGTTACAGCCTTCATACAGCCCTAGTATTAGGTTGGGAACATCTAGCCACTTGCCAGTAGAGAAATCATGTATTAGATGACCATGCATATTCAAAAATTCATTTACCTCTCCTCTCAGTCCCTAAAGAGATCCATTAGTCCCTTTGGATGGGCATCAGGGATTCCTTCCTTCCTTATCTCCTCATCATCATTTCCTATTTTACTTTTCTCCTCCTCTACTGACATGCTGATAAGCTGTTCTCTGTATTTCTGCATTTCCCCCAGAGCTGACTCTCCATCATCTGCTTTTGTTTGGTTTTTCTTTAGCTGTATCTACAGCAGAGAAGGGCAACTTTAGATCTTGTATCCTCTGGGGTCTGGAGGGGGTGCTCAGACTTCTCAAGTTCCTTAAAATGAAATACCCATAAAGCGAACTTTTTTTTTCCTCACGCTGAGGGTCTATTTTAACAAAATTCTTCTAAATGATTATGAAAACATTCCTAACATCTTTTTTCCCTGTCTTGCTAAGACTACTAATGTTGTCTTCTCCCATTAGTATAGCTTGGAGCTGATAGAGGCAGTTAGTTGAGGTTCCCAAAAGGGGGGGGGACGTCTGAGAGTTGGGTAGAGAAAAAGCTCTTCCTTCCACAAAAGGGTTCTAAAGTGATGAAAAGAAATTGAATCAAATACCAGGATGGAGACTCCAGAATTTCTCATTCAAATTTAGTTTTTATTCAAGGCGCTGAAGTTTTGCTTGTCCAATTTGATCCTCACAAAGTAAAGAATAGCCCCCTCTATAATAATTTTGTAAATGAAGAAACTGAGATTTGGGGAATAATAACTTTCTTAAGGTCATATAGTCCATGAGTAGAAAGCCAAATATTAAATTCAGAACCATTAAATCCAAACTTCATTTCATTCCATTTTACTAAAGTAAGACTTATGCCTAATGCTTAGCTTATAGACCTGGAACCATGCTCTTTTGGGTTCTGGGTTATAGTAAGATTTATAGAAAGGTTTAAGTACTGTATTCCATGTGTGTGTGTGTGTGTGTGTGTGTGTGTGTGTGTGCGCGTGCGTGTGTGCATTAACACACCTATTATGAGGCGATATTTCTTCTTCACTTGAAGATGGTGAAAAATGAATGGATGTTTCCAAAAGGGACTTGAGGTCTATAGATGAAATTCATGTAAGATTGAAAAAAGAATCACAAGATTATCTTGGTGTCTGCTGAAAAGATTTTTTTTTAAAGGGATGAGTAAATTATTTTATTTTTTTTAAGCTTCCTAAGTATGTGATGAGAAAGGACAGCCAGGAAAAAGGAAGACACATAAAAAGCTGTGGATGTGAAGGGCTCCTGAAATAAAAGTAGTACTTATTTTTGAAGTGCATGACGTTAAAATTTGGGGGAGTGTCATCAATCACTTGCAGGACTCTCTAGGAAGGAGCAGGATCTTTTGATTTATTGTCAAAGTCAAATAGGATATCAGAAACTGAAATTCCTTTGCACTATGATGAGAAGATATTATTCGGCTTTGATGAAAATACTGAGAAAATCCTCAGTCATAGTTCCACCTTTGGTTTCAGGGAGAGCATCTGGGGAAACTGGGTGTGCTGTCCATACCAGAAATTGATTTGGTAAGGATTGAGAAGGTAATATATAGAGGTGATTTGAGTCCATCCATATCTATGGTTTAGCACCACATCTAGGTCTTTCGTTACTCTAGGCTATTCAAAGAAATACCCAAAGAAAGATACATCACAAACTTGCCTCTTTTAGAATCATGTAATTGTAGATTTTCGGAGTACTTCGGTCTTCATTTAGGCAAAGACTAGCTAAAAAAATAAATTTGCAGACTTAATTGTGACTATCTGCTCACACACTGTTTCTTCTTTTCCTTGGCTGGGAACTCTGTTTATCTAGATTTAAAGCATAATAAGAAGGTAAATGCATTTGTTAGTTTAATATAACCCTGATTGTGTAAATCAATCAGAAGATGTATACCAACTCTAATAGTCAATATTTTAATTTTCCTACGTAATATCCAAAATACCTGTACTTCATCCATTGACACATGTCTTCCAAGTGGTGATTTCAGAAATTCAGGCCCTTGCATTTTATGGTGTTAACATCTTCAGAGTGTGGCTTCTAAGGTGATTGTGCTTGTTTGATCCAATGGGCAGAAGAGAAAGAACCTAGAAAACTATGCTTGGGAAGTTTTAGTAAACCAGGGTGAGACATATTGCAGGTCCTTTACACTCAGAGTCATTGTCTATTACTCAACCACATAGCTACCTAGGTGTAAGAGAAGTATAGTCTGGCTGTTTGCCAAGGAAGAAGAAGAAATAAATTTCTTCTGTGAATTCCTGACATTGTTCCCCAGAAGCTAGTATATTACAAAAATGATTCTGTTTTGTTTCTGTGGTAAAGATACAGGATCATAGAAGAAAGTAGGAAATGTACTAGGGCTTTTTAAATTTTTCTTTTTTTTACATTTTACTTATTTTTGAGAGAGAGAGAGAGAGATTGAGACGGAGCACAATTGGGGGAGAGGCAGAGAGAGAGGGAGACACAGAATCAGAAGCAGGCTCCAGGCTCCAAGCTGTCAGCACAGAGCCCGCCGTGGAGCTCGAACTCACAAACCGTGAGATCACGGCCTGAGCTGAAGTCGGATGTTTAACCGACTGAGCCACCCAAGTGCCCCTATCAGGGCTTTTTAAAAAAAATCTTTTCTCCCCTTCTGGTTATGTGTGTGTGTGTGTGTGTGTGTGTGTGTGTGTGTGTGTGTGTGTAATTCATTTATATATATGTATTATACATATAATGTATATATAATATATAGTTCATTTTCCTAAATATTTGTGCTAAATACAGAACTATTTGAAAAGTTCTTCATGTTGTAATGGAAGGATCATGAGTTTTGGAAACAAGAAGACCTGGTTTCAGATATTTCCTCTCTGGCTTACTCCTTCTGGACCTTGGGCAAGTCACTTAGACATTATGAATCTCAGTCTCCTCATCTGTGAAATTAATATAATAAACTCTAACTTTGATAACATCCCTTCATAGTATGTAGAATGTATTAGTTGGCAAATATTTGGTATTTGCTGTTTTTATCATTATCTGGGCACCTTTATGTTCTTTTTTCCTTACCTGAAAATCTATGGAAAGGATTTGATTAGTTACATTTACACTAAGCTGCTATAACAAATAGGCCTTAAACTAGAGAGACTTGAGAACATGGATGTGTATTTCTCTTTTTCTGGTTTTCTGCACTGAGCATTTCTGGTCATCTGGTTCCATGTGGTTTTGGTGACTTAACAAGTCATGGCCATTCCAGATATGAAGGATATTGAAGAGCAGAGGGTAGCCAATTTAAAATACTAATCTATAGAGGAAAGTCTAAGTTAAGATTAGACTCTTATTTAGTCTTTATCTGAAAATTTACTTTCAATATAACAAATAAATCAGTTTACTGCTTATAAACCTTTTGTACCATTGCTCTGTTTTAGGGACTGGGAAATTTTCAGGTGAAATGGTTTATGTTGGATATATGAATGAACTTGGGAGACTAGTGGGGAGCTGTGCCTTCACTTTTTAGCTTGTTGCTTACAATACCAAGCTATATCACCTCTCTCTAAGAGTGGCAATCGTCATGAGGGTGTGAGAGAAACAATCTTGATTAAATACAGAAATGTTGAAGATATGTTAATCAGTAAAGTATTTTATGTAACAGTAAAGAGTGTGTTCTTAATTTTTATATAATAACATATAATTAGTTCAACAAATAGATATTGAGCAACAGCTACTATAGGAAACTATTGCTGATAGGAAAAAAATCTCTGAACATCTGAAAGGATTAATATTAGATGGTTTGTTTATAGGTTATTTTGCATTATCCCTTCTCTTTATTTAAACTTTCAAGACTCTACTCTGAGGACTTTGATAAAAAAAAAAAGTAAAAGTATTTAAAAATAACTCATTGATGTTATTGAAAATATTTACTCATCTTTGTGCTTTAATGAATGATAGAATCAAAATGCAGGTCTGTTTCCAGATATCCACTTATAATATGGAAACATATGTGAGCAGAATTAGATAATAGTGCTTAGTTCAGAATGATAGTGTCAGATGACCAAGTTTGCATCTGGAGGCCGCCTAAATTGGCAACTGCTTGACCAAGCATTCAGATCCTTCATTTATTCCAGACCTTTCCAAAATCCATTGTTTTAATCAATTGATTAAGCATTAAATGATCCTATTCTGTATTACAGTTGCCAACAATACATATGTTATAAAATCCAGTGGACACTTCCATAACTCCTTTTATCTGACATAGCAGCCGCAGTCAGTAGTGACTTCGCTTCCAGAAGTCGTTATCTCTCTTGGTTTCCATGATACGAGATTCTTCAGGGGCTTATCCTATTTTCATTACTACATCTTCTTTATCTCCTTTTCTTGATCCACTTCCTGTAATGCCTATCTATTTGGAATGCCCCACAGCATAAACACTAGTTGAATACATAAATATTTAAATGAACAAGTAAATAAATAAATGTAATCTTAAACCTAAAGGAGGGACACTAAATTTTAGCGTTTCAGGATTTGGGAGCACAATGAGCAGAGGAGCATGTGGAACCCTTCCGCTTGAAGGATTGCAGGACTCACCATGCAAAGGTGCGCAGACAGCATTGGCTAAGCAGACTCAAAGAACAGGGGCTCCACAATTCCTTATCGAAAACGGAATTTTGGAACGGTTTTGCAAACTTCATGCTTGATTTTTCCCTTGGTTTCCATGCAACTTGAATCACTGACTCATTCTTGAAGTTCTTTTGTTGTTTTAATACATTAAATTTGCTCATTACAGCTGAATATGAATGGAAAATAGCATCTGTTTACACTGTAATAATATAAAAATTACTTACTAGTAACAGAATAAAGAGCAATTTGCAAAAGCTAATCATATTTGTGCACTTGTCTGCAAAAAGTAAACTGTTAATGTATGCCCAAGGGGGGAATCACTTGCTGGTTTAAGCATTGGAAGCTGTGATATTAACAGGCATCACTTAGACAACTCTGGTATTTAAGATTGGATACAAATATCCCAACTTGTCATGAAAATATAGATGTTTATTAGTTTTGTTTTGACCCTGGTAAATTCAAACAATGTGGAGATTCATATAGTATCATAGAAAATTCAATGGTTAGAAATTTCTTAATATTTGCAAAGTCAAAAAGTTTTAGTAAGTCTTATTTAGAGAAAACTTTTTTTGACTTTTCTTAGTGCTAATCACAAATACTGCTGGAAAAACATGTCAGAAGCAGCCCCCCACACCCCCCAAAGCATTAAAATGAAAGAGCTGTTTAAAAATTGAAAATGAGTCGACTTTGGCTCAGGTCGTGATCTCATGGCTTATGGGTCGGAGTCCCACGTCGGGCTCTGTGCTGACAGCTTGGAGCCTGGAGCCTGCTTCGTATTCTGTCTCCTCTCTCTCTGCCCTCCCCACTCATGCTCTGTCACTCTCTCTCTCTCTAAAAATTAATTAATTGGAGAGAGGGAAGATGGCGGCATAGGAGGACGCTGGGCTCACTGCGCGTCCTGCTGATCACTTAGATTCCACCTACACCTGCCTAAATAACCCAGAAAACCACCAGAGGATTAGCAGAACAGAGTCGCCGGAGCCAAGCGCAGACAAGAGGCCCACGGAAGAGGGTAGGAAGGGCGGCGAGGCGGTGCGCGCTCCACGGACCGGCGGGAGGGAGCCGGGGCGGAGGGGCGGCTCGCCGGCCAAGCAGAACCCCCAAGTCTGGCTTGCAAAAAGCGGAGGGGCCTGAGGGACTGTGTTCCGACAGCAAGCGCGACTTAGCAGCTGGGAGGTCATAAGTTAACAGCTCTGCTCAGAAAGCGGGAAGGCTGGAGGACAAAGGGAAGGAGAGCTGCTGAGCCCCCAGACGACAGAGCTCAGTTTAGTGGGGAACAAAGGCGCTCGCCATCGCCATCTCCCCCGCCCATCCCCCAGCCAAAATCCCAAAGGGAACCAGTTCCTGCCAGGGAACTTGCTCGCTCCGCGCAAACACCCAACTCTGCGCTTCTGCGGAGCCAAACCTCCGGCAGCGGATCTGACTCCCTCCTGCTGCCACAGGGCCCCTCCTGAAGTGGATCACCTAAGGAGAAGCAAGCTAAGCCTGCCCCTCCTGCCCCTGTGCACCTTGCCTACCCACCCCAGCTAAGACGCCAGATCCCCAGCATCACAAGCCTGGCAGTGTGCAAGTAGCCCAGACAGGCCACCCCACCCCACAGTGAATCCCGCCCCTAGGAGAGGGGAAGAGAAGGCACGCACCAGTCTGACTGTGGCCCCAG